GAAGTACCTTTGCAAACAAACACAGCAGTGAGACTTTGAAGGGATAGAGCAGCAAGAAAAAAAACTATTTAGGTCCTAATAAGAGATAATGAATGCACTGTTAGAGTTAAATCTTTGGATGCAACAGAAATAAGTAAGAAAAAGAGTTCAAATGGTCCATAACTCAGAAATGTAATCATGTGCCTTTTCAAGCACATGAGCAATTCCATTAAACTAAGCTGCTTTAATTGCATTAAGCTTACAGAGGCTACTCATGTGCTTAAACTCAAACATATGATTAGTTATTTCCCTAAAAAAAGAATGGGTAATTCAAACAAATGCTGTATGTATGCATTTAAATGTTTCAAGGTATTAGATTCAGCATCCTATGAACTAAAACATTCAAATTAGCTTTTTGGCAGAAAATCTGTTCCCTGGATGCAAAACGTTCTCAAAAAGACACATTTGAATTACTGCTCAAAATTATTTTGCTGAGAGTCAATAGCTGATCTTCTAATAAAAGGTTCAAGCACAATCAATCACAACTAAGTGAAAAATTCATGTTCTATATATGTGTTCGACATGCTTCAAAAACAAAACAAAAAGCATTTTCTTACGTAAATTCAAGTAATAAATAGGAGCTGATAATTCTTTGCTCAGCTCTTACCAGTAAACTGTTCTTGCAGAATTAAAGAACTAAAAAGTGGCTATTTTTACACACATACAAAAATTACTACAACAACCAAATACTTACTGTTCAGACTGTCATAGGAATCTATTATGCATTAATTAATGTCTCTGATCATATACTGATTAATTATATTCATTTTGCCATAAATTCCTGGGTATTTTGCAGTTTATGTATCATAAAAACTTGCTCTTTTATGCTGCTCCTTCAGTTTATCCTATATCTGGTTTTGGGGGCACTATTATTCTTTACATTAAACAAACAAATGACCACACGAGTAGGTCTGAAACTAAACCAAAATGTTCAGCAAGATGCTCTTGATGCCTCCACTGTGACAAGCAACATCTGAACTTGAAGAGGTCAACCAGCCAACAATGTACTGCATTTCATTCTGTGAGAAATGTGAATGGGGAGGATGAATAATAAATTAGTTTTATGGCAAAAAAAAAAAAAAAGAAAATGGAATTTTGTTCACAACTTCCTTTTCTGTTTTGGCTTTTAAACACGAAGTTTGACAGATGCTGCCTTCAGAGTGGAGCACTGGCTCACCCTGATGCATATTCTGCAGTCACGTTTGAGTCAGCATTTGAGAGGACCTGTTGCCATATGGAAAATCAGGAACAATTACTCTAAATAATTACATCATTTTATTGCTGTCTGTTGCCAAGAGAAACAAGCCTTGTTGGTAATATCCACTCGTGTTGCCAAGTAACGTAATCTTTCAGGAAACTAAATATGCTCCAGGCCCAGCACTTCTCTAGCAATAAATACCCTTTCTAACTGATATCATGATGACTCAAAGTGCATCTTTGCTTTGACAATTTCCTGAGGTAATTTCTGCTCAGTTATGGGCTGATGGCCTTGGAGGTGAGTTATCACTCCTGGCTTGAGACCTGCAGAGGTGGTATGGGAGTACAAACCAGTCAGTCTGGGCTTCCCTCAGCCCTTGGGGAGAAATCAGAACTTTTAAGGCCAGTGAGACGAACACCAAACAGATAAATTGAACTGCATGGTACCAGCAGCCATTTCTCCACAGATCAGGAGTCCCAGTGGAGGTGGTGTCAGCTGTACTGAGCTCTGGAGTTTAGGGCAGACAAAGCCAGGTGAGGTCCTCTCCCACCCAGGCTGCCAACAGCAGTGGAAGCCAGTCTTTGTCAGCGTGATTAAACCTTTCCTTTGGCAGTAGAGCCTGGCAAGAGGTGATCCTGATGAGGAACCTGTTCCATAAAACCTCTAGGCTGGGACTTTCAGGCTACAACAGCTGCTCAGGTTTGAGGGCAGCAACATCTGGAAGTGTGAGGCCTCTCAGTCAGGTGCTCCTGGGCAGATGTGTTGGCCTGAGTCACCAAGGAAAGGCAAGGTGGCACTGTCACCTCCCTGATGCTCCTGCCATAGGCATTTTGGGCATTCCTCAGCCAGTTTGCCAGGCCTTCCAGTTCATTATCACTCCTAAATGTCTCACCCTGCTGTTCAACTGCTGTCATTCAAACCATTGCAGACAACAACTTAACTGTTTCTCTCTGTGCTTTCACTTAAATTTCATTCCAGCCTGAAAACACAGCACTGAACACCCCCCTTTTTCCTCTCACAGGTTTATTGGATTGAGCAGGTTTCCCTTCCACAGCTCCTGGCACTGCAATTCTCATTTTGTCTCTGATACCACGAACACAGCCCTGAAGGAACCACTTCTGCCTCGTGTCCCACTCGAACGCCGCGAACGACTGCGACAAAGTGGTGACAAAGTGCTTTCCTGCCTCACCAGAGTCACGTCGTTGCCATTTGGATTCAGCTCTGTGTTTGTGAGAAGGGGCTGATAATTCCTCCTAACACACTGCAGCTCTGCCCGTGGCTCATCTCAATGAACTGCAGCACTCACACGGATGCCCGGCAGGCCCTTTATTTAAGGCTCACATTACACAACGTCTTTGGTGATTCCTCCCTAAGCCAACTGAACTTGTTGATTCAAAAACTACCTCGCAGTCCTGGCTGGCAACGACCTGACAGAAGCTACAAAGCTTATTATGTTTGTCTGATTTCTCTGTGTTCTGTCACTGCTTCGTTTTGCTGTGCTTATCCACTCTCACGCCTTAACAACCTGTAATCAACACCCTGCATCCTTTAGTGCTCGGAGCCACGGGGGGTTTTTTCACCATGAAAAACCCTTCCCTTGTAGCTGTCAGAGCAGAGGGGTTTTTTTCACTATGAAAAACCCTTCCCTTGTCATTCTGCTGTCAGAGCAGAACCTTCTTTTGTTTTGTTCCCTTCTTTTTTTTGGGAAATGATAACACACAGAGTGATTTCACGTTAGACATATAAACTCTTCACCTGTATAAGGAATACTGATGACAAGAGAATGAAACTCAGTGTTGCAAAGGCCTTATAATTATCTTTTTTTCCAACAGAGCAGTTACTTTCTCCATGACATCCCCTGTACATGAAACTCTAATTCATCATGCCTCACTGCTGTGTGGAATCAGAGTATAAATACTCCCCAGGATCTGACTTGAACAGATATTTATGCCCTCCTCATTTAAAACTTCTTTTGAAGACCCATTTCTGTAATGATATCTACAGAAGAAGAGCTATTCTGTGTGTTCTGTTTACCTTCTATTATACTTTATTGACTTAATTGAGTTCTGTGAGGAAAGATGTTCTATCAGAGCAGATTTCCCCTTAATAATTTAATGATTTAATGTTTCCAGATGTATTGTCCCATTGATTATCATTTTTCTCCACTGCCATCACTTTTATCAGGTCAAATCCTGAAAGTGTAATGTAAAAACTTCTTGACACAAAGAGAATCTCTGAGCCAGAGTGTCTGGAGAAGTCACATTTTCAGTACAGAGCTACACCATTCCAAATCTACTGCTGATAATATTTGAACTAAGGACATATATTCCTCATTGAAGGGATGACATCTTATTCCTAGACCAATCATTCATACTTGGATTTACTTATGTGCACAAACATAGTTTTCTTTGAAAAAATTAATATACATTAGTCTGGGGGGTACAGTGTGTATTGAATCAATTCCTCATAGTACAAGTAAAATATCTAAATACATAAAACAATCTGTGTAGCTTCTCCTCTACTTATAGAGCTGTTTCTTTGTCTTCATACCTCTAATAATGCAGAGAAATTGGCATTGACAATATAGAGTTATTTGCTTCCTAAGGTTCTGTATTTCCTTTGTACTTCTGAAGGTCACAGGGACTCAGTCAAACCTGAAACAGTCATTTTGATTCCCAATTTTTTCTTTTCACTACAATGTAATTATCTTATAGATTTTCATGTAGATTATTTACTGTTTTTCTCTTCCTGTTGGATAAATGTACAATAACTAAACTAACTTCGATTAGGTAACTGTCACCAATATTTAAAACTTAATGACACTTTCAAAATTACATAAGTAATCCAAGCATAAAAATTATTCTTTATGATATCATTTCAGAACAGTGGCACCAAATCCCTATTGTACAATAGCCTGTGTCTCAGAAACATTAAACACAAACCATCATCACATTTTTCTTCTATGTAAGTTCTCTATTCCTTTAGTTATATCCAGTGTCCTTTCTATATTTGGACCAAAGCATCTTTAGGAGATACAAAATGGAATATTCAGCATCTTAATTTAACCTCAGTATATTAAATTATCTTCTTAGCTAGGTATATGTAATCTTATATATTTTAGAAATCAGAATTTGTCCTTGTGTATTCAGCAGTAGCTTTGTGCCTGCCTTACATTTCCCCTCCAGACTTGCTGGTGCTATTTTAAAGATGATTCACTCTCAGAGGCCACCATCCCCAGAGGCTCAAGGCACTGTGATATAAAGACCTGCTTGGATTTAAGCACACATTTAAATCCAGCATAAGTCTCTGTGCTTTGCAGTATCAAGAGAGTCTTAAAGATAAGCATATGCCTAAATATTATGCTGAACTGGGCTTAGAAACAAGGTCCATCCTCTGAAGGAGCAGAATAGTTCCAATAGCCCAGCACAGATTAATGATGCTGTGTGGGATTTAGCTTTGAATGCAGCAGGAAGTGGAAAGTCTCTGTTAATAAAAGGGAAAATCATGAATCAGCAAATGCTGGAGACTGTAATAAGCAAGAAAACACTTTAGGTCCTGCTGAGCCACAGGTTTCATCCTGTGCAGCATTTAGCTTTAATAAAACACAGGTTAACTGGCTGCATTCAAGAGAATGATAAGCTACCTTTCACATTATTTGTTTTTTTGCTGAAGAGGAATGATGTCAATGTTCTGGGAGCAAGTCCATGATTTAACATTGCTAGAGTGAGATTGTTACAATATAACTTGAATTAGAAAAACTTACTTGAGGGCATTAGCATCTCCATGGACCTTATAGTTGTCTGCACTGATCCTGGAGATGACTCTTGTGACAGCAATGAGAATGCCAATATTGACCTGGAGAAGATGAAGGAACAAGACTTGGTAAGGAAGGCCAGTTCTGACCATGTCAGAGGTGCAGGCTGCCCGAGGAGGGGATTGTACAAACACAGCAGAAAACAGAAACTTTGTGTTTATTTGGCAATAGAGGTTTTCAATGTTGCACTGTTACATTTGCCCCTTGTCAGTGATTTCTCTCCCCCCACAGTGGGTAGTTCTTGCTTGTGTTCTCTTTCCTTCAGGAGCAGTCCTTGGGAAAAGTCTGGATTGATACGTTGCTTCACAGCCAGAGGAATGCTCGGGATCCCTGCTGTACAAATCAATACCTTAACAGCCTTCTGCCAGCTGACAAACCAGGCAAGAATTTCACCAGCCAGGGCACGTGTCTTCATTCCCTTTGGTTTTGTGCCTGCCTGTGCACAGACTCCAGGGTGTACAACTCCCTTTTCTTACCAAAGTCTGCTGGCAATTGAAGCACAAGACTATTTTAAAACAGCGATGAGAAAAAATATGTTAAGCCTGAACTCTGGTCTTCAAAGCCTCTGCTCTTTTTGATGTCTGGTCCAGCAGAAACATCAATAAAATGAAAAGAATTCCCACCAGAAAAGTAGGAAATCTTGAAAAGACTAACACTGAAAATGTCCAACAAAAGAAAGTTTGTGCTGGAGTCGCAGGTGAAGGAAGAAGGAAATCACTTAAAGGAAATGTGGCAAAGACTCTCTTGCTGTGCAAAGACCTTGGGTTTAAAGAATAAAGAAGAGTCAAGAATGTGAAGGTGAAAGACGTATTTCCCCCTTCCTGCCCAAATTTATACATCAGCTACAAAGCATCTAGTTAAGAGCAAAACTATTCTCAACTACGGAACAAAAAGAAAGTGGAGACTTCAAAAAAGTGCTGTTCCTCAGTTAAAACTCAATAATCATTCTCTATTTTGACACAAATATTCTAATTCTGAGGATGAGAGCATGAATTATAAATGTTTAAGTTTGATGCTAATGTCTTCCTTGGTATTTTTCAAATCTTCTGACCACTCTTTCAATTTTAGATTTCTAAGGGCAGATCATCACCTGCTGTAAAGTCAGAGCATAACTGTGATAATTCATTTCTGCCAAGGCTTTTGAGTCTGTCCAAAGAATACCCTGTGGAGCTGACAGCTCTTCAATAACAAGAATACTTGTTGTTCAATCAGCTTTACAGAGAGGAATAAGAGGTGAAATTCAATGGTCTTGGGATCATTTCCCCTATTCCCACCAAATCATATTTTGTAAATAACTTTTATAAGTCCTTTGAGGTGGTAATGAGTATTTTCAGAAATCCATTTATCTCCTCTACTTGGAATCTTGCACACCCTCACTCAAACTGGACCTGAACCTTTAGATCTGGTCATGAAAACAGCACAAGACAAACTAGACAAAGCAGGTGGTTTTCTAACACACAAATTGTTCAGTATTTATAGCTGAATTTTAATTTTTTCATATAAAAGAAATTAAATATAAAATTAATTTCCTAGGTAATTTGGATGGTGTAAAGTGGATTTAAAAGGCCTTGAGCTTCTCCTCTGGTGCAGTCAGTGTGACTATACCTTTTCCAGGGTGCACTGGTAATATGCTTAAAAGATGAAAAGGGAATATTGTGATCTCACTGCTGATGTAGAAAAAGGTACTCAAGTCCTGAAATTCTATATTTAAATTTCCTGAACCACTTAAAAATTTTTGCTTAGGTATTTTGAGAAATTAAAGCAATCTCACCCAGCCTAAATAAACAGATTAGCTACAAATGCCTGCCTTTGTTAATGCCTCAGTAAGTAAAGCATGGAGTTATCTCCACTGCCCTTACAATGGGAAACCAAAATACAGCCACTGAGTTGTTCTTCCAGTGATTTTTTTTGGCATCTGACATAAATACTTTGCCAATGATTTGAACAGGAGAATGTTTAGTTGATGAAACACTCGTTATTCTTTAATCTATATTAGAACGATCAAATTATGAGAATAAATATTTAGATAAGGCCACTGTACACAGTTCCTACCTCTTCCTTTCCTGAAAGGCCAGATAACCTGACAATGGCAGTTATTTTGCCTTAAAATTAGACTGGAACTTAGAATGGTTTTTCTTCCAGGTACTGGCCACACTCTGGTTTAAAAAAAATATAACTACTAACATTAGTGCTTGTTCACTAATTCACAGGACTCCTTTCAAGGCATCTTGTCCAACCCCAGGCACTCACAACTCTCTGCAGAGTCAGCAGGAGCTGCCAGTTCCCATTACTGGAGCGTTGATCCAAAGCCCACCGGAGCCCACGGAAAGGTCCCGATGACATCAGGGAGCTCTGGCTCGCTCTAGTGGCAGCTTCATCTGACCAAAAACTGTCAGATCAGGGAGAGACTTCAATGAGCAAAAAGAACCTCTTTCAAAATCTTTTCTCGTCAAAGTTTTGCCAGACCAGATGCAGTGAGGCAAATTCTTTTCCCTCCTTTGCAGGGATTTCACCTAGATTTCCTCCAAGTCACATGAGATTTTTGTTTCTTCTTAAATACAGGGCAGAAATCCCATGTGTAAAACCCTCTGATGTGGTGTGTTCCATGCTAGCCAAGAAAAGGCTTGGCAGTACAGAGGAACTGAAAAAAAAAAGCAACTCAACATATTGCCTTAATTAAATCCATTGACCAGCTCTCCTCTAAAACCACAAACTATTTTGGGCTCCACTTCAGTTTCGGGCAATAGTACAGGGAGTTTAAGTGGCTCTTCCAATTGAGGTTTAACTTCCTCTCTGATGGTGTGAGTGAGTTTGATCTTTACCATGACATCACTGGTCACACACCAACACTGCAGCCCATTGCTGGGGCACATCAGAAACCATTCCTGGGCAATGAGCATTTCCAAGCACAGCCAGTTGATTCAGTTGGATGGATGTTAAAATTTGGGAGAGTGATTTTGGAAAGCCTGGTGCTGCTTTTAGCTATCCCAGAGCAACTGCAGATGGACTAGACTAAACTGAGTTATTTTGCAGATTAATTTGGGTTAATGCACGTAGTATCACACCAGTTAGAGCTGAATATCAGAGCAAAGCTTTGAGGTTGGAAAGGAAATACAGAAGAAAACAAATAAAGGAGCCCAACTTCTACACTTTCCTAATATTAATCCTTAATATTGAATCTGCTCCCTTGTTCAAAAGAAATCTTGCATGCTTTCCTGTTGGTTAAGTAAGAAGAACTTTAATTTTAACATAATGAAGGAATTTAATCTTAAAAGAATAAAAGTGTTCATAGCTGAGTGCTAATAAGAAAAAATGAGAAGCTTAGCAGGTGTGGTCTAATCCACCACAGCATTTAAGTAGGTACTTGATTTCAATGAGATTGAGGAATCCTACAGTCTCAGGGCCTTTAAACACTGTGGGTTCAACTCTGTCACCTTTTCCCATGATGAGTGATGCCTAATAAGGGACACAAGTTGTCACTTTTCAATCCATGTGAGTTGGACTCACACTCTAACTGCAGAGTGAGACAGTGTCCATCACAAGGAAATTATCCTAATTCTGCACTGGTACATAAAGGCAGGAATAAATACCATAAGGAATTTACTATATCTTTTATGATCAGGTATAGGGGAGATAATACTGTTTTATATATTGAATATTCATGGGCAAGTACCAGCTGAAGGCAGTGGTGGCAATCTCAGCCCAGGACCCAAGTTCCACTGAAGACAGTGGTCACAAAGCTGATGTCCCCCCAGCACAAAACCCTTAGCAATATGCCAATGAAATTCATTTAGCTCCATAAAAATGCTGTTTTTATGAAAGACTTGTAAAAAAAACTCCAGGAAAATGACTCCTTACAGGGAAAACAACAGAAAGGACTTGTCACTACAGCCCAGTATCTCCCCCTGCAATGGATTGTTCAGTCTGCAGCTCACCCACTGCTCCAGGAACACAGATGCTTTCCACAGAATTTCCCTAATTCTGCCATAGATATGGAAACACATCAAGGCAGCAGATGGCTGATAACAAGCAAAGCCTTCTGCCAGAAGTACTAATGTCTTGTATCAAAAATTCAGGTGCTTTGTCAAGCGGGTTTTTTTTTTCCACATGTCCCAGGCCAACTTTGGCTGAGCTTAGTTTGGTTTGCAAACTAATTGCAAGAATCTTTTTGTGAAGCTGCCTGAAGAGGATGATACAGAGGCTCATGTGTTGTGGTTTGGAGGGTGGGGGAGAGTGATGTTTAAGATGTAGGTAGAAGCCAAAAAATCTACATATAGAAGGAACTATTTCCCTCATCACATCCCTTGACTAAACCCCAAGGAAAGAGCACGTTGGGTATGGGAATCCATATAGGGTTGGGAGGTTCTGTGAATTACTGCCTAGAAAGGTATGTGTGAGTGTTTTTTCCCAGTCACACTCCCTACACATCACTCTGTTTTGAGGCTCCATGGTGTCTGTGTTGCCTGTGAGGCTGTGGCAGGACAAAAGTGAACTGTGTCTGCCTTGTCTCTAGGGAGTGGGAGTTAAAAAGAGCAGTCCCCCTGTTTCCCTCACAGCATAATCCTTTTTCTTGGCAGAGAGAAACTGTGGATGGAACTAGTCAAAACCTGCTTTTTGAGGAGTATTTTCGGAGTTAAACATCAGTTCATGCAACTGGTGGCTCATTTGTTATTTAAAGAGCACAGGCACACATGCACACGCACACAAAATACTGTTTAGCCTTGTTATTTCCCTATAGGCACTAACACATTTTTCAGCTGGAATATTCAATGCCCAGAGAGAGTAATTTGTCAGCCAGCTTGCTGCTATTTTGGGCAGACCTGGGTTTAGACTATTTAACAAATTGCTCTACGTGAATCAACCTTGTGAGCTCACTCTTTCTCTTTCTGAAAATATTTGTATCCCTACAAGGATATAATTAGAGCTGCACAAATGTTATATATCATAAGTTAGAGCCAGACAGCTAAACTCTTACTTTCACTGGCAAGCACCTCTGCATGCAAATTGCTGAAGGCTGTGCTTGCTCAGGTGAGCTGGTGTGTTTTGGTTAACACCATCTTTGGACAGCAGCTTGGAAAGATTTGGTGTTATTGGCTGCATCTCATTTCCTCCTTTGATGCTGAACAATGACCAAAAAGCAAGTGCTAATGTGAGCAGGACACATATAAATATTAAATTATTTTAATTGCTCTCCAATCATCAATATCTACATATCTCTGAATATAAACTCACCTACAGAAGGTTCAAGGGACAGGTCAACAAGGAGTTAAGTTTGTTGGAACAAAATCCACAGCTGTTTAGCCAGCTCTAACCTAGTGGTCAACATTTCTTATTTACATGTATATGCTTTCACTGAGGTAAAAGAAATTCTGCCCTTACTCTTTAGGCACTTTCAAGTGTTGCCATTAACAATTTGATTAAAATGCTAACACCAGACAGTTTCTGTCACATCAATATGGCAACCATTTGCATTTTTTTTTTAATATATGTTTATATAACCCAGTTTTTCAGAGGCTGTATGGGGGGTGGAAGGTGCTGGGCTGGGCTGCCTGGAAGAGCTGCTGATTTCACTGTCTCCCAGGCAAATGTTAGGATGGCCACTCACCCACAGCACAAAATCCCCTGTGATGGTAAAGGTCAGCCAAGGAGCCATCTTCTGCTTGCCAAATAGTTACAGAGATATGCAATGGTAAACACTAGGTATATTTATTTATTTAATTAGTTATTTAATTGTTTGTTTATTTATTTAATTATTTATTTATTTGTCCTTCCTTCCTTTGGCTTGTGAGCAGGATTTCTGGGGGGGTTTTATGTGAGATGAAATCTGTGATGTTTCTTTATGTTTTTTTTTAAAGGTCCATGCCTTTTGAACTTAAGTAGAGCTTTAAAGCCAACCCGATTTCACTAATCAGTGAGTCTATTCCATCTTCACTTTCGCTCTGACATTATAACCTCTATCAAAAATTGCAGATGACCTGATCAATAGAAGTATTAGAAACAGTGGTGAAGAGGTGCTAATCTCCCACTTAGTCCCTGCAAACACCCCTGACTCCTTAAGTAGTCACAGGGGTTAAGCTACAGCTCAATGGAGTGTGAGCAAAATTAAACTGCTGCAGAGCTTTCGTGGAGCAGCATCGGAGCCGTGAACCTGCCCCCTTCCCTGGAAGGATGCTGCTCATTAGAGCTGGCAGAGGTGTTTGTGGCAGCCACCTGAACCCTGCAACCTCACCTTAACAGCCCTGCCTTGATCAGCCAGACACTCTGCCCTACCTGACACCAAATATCAGAGGAACAGAACGAATTCCTCAGCGCTGGAAGGAGACAGATGTGGAGGCAGCTTTTTACCATCCCCAGAGCCCACCCAAGGGGTGACAGCTCTTGTTGCTGTTCTAACCCACTCCTGCAAACCCTGCTGGTGACCATCTTCACTGGGGACACTCACAAAAACTTCAAACACCAGTGGGATGGAATCAGGCTTTCAGCTTTTACTGGTGTATATGGAACACAAACCACAGAGTCTGTTCTTTTGGGGGTTCTTTCTGTTCTTTTGGGTTCTTTCTGAGAATTGTTGAGACTCCCAAGGTTACTTGGTCCTACACAATTATTAATGACACCAGCAGGGCTACTCCAGTATTTTAGGTCCTATCTTTGCAATAGTGAAATTACCAGTGCGGGAATTAATATGCATAAACTAATACAATGCAAAAAAACTGGAGGAGGAACCAAGTAGTTCTGGAACATTCACGACTGCTGTTTCACTGGGCTGGCACAAGGATTGACCCTAGGCCTTCAGCCAGTTCTGCTGACACAGACATGCAACAAGAAAACAGCAGCTGCTGTGGTTTTACCTACCAGAATGACAAACATCGCCGGCGCCACAAAAGCCCAGATTGCTCCATTCTCCAGTGAAAGCCAGCAGCTGCAGGGAGAAATCAGAATGATTTCAGATGAAGCACACAGCCATTTAATTAGTAATGTTCTTAATTTAAAAGAGCAATTCAAAGAGAGTGCAAAAATACCGGTGAATTTTAAAAGCAAGAGATGTGACAGCACCCCAGGAAGAAGCTCCTTTCCCCCTCACACTCAGGGAATCCAAGGCAGGATCTCATTGGATTTGTGTCTTGCAAAGAGTCTGTGACAGCTCTGCCCCAGCCCACTTTCAAACAGCATCAGGGGTGAAAAGACGGGAAGAAAGGAAAGGTTTTATTTGCTCTTTGTTGTTCTTGTATCCTCAGTCACAGGCAGTGATTTCAGTGCTGGAGCACTGGCACTGCAGCCAGGGACAAATTGAAGTCTTCCCTGCCTGGCCTGGCTGGTGCTGGGGAAGGGACTGCTCAACACACTGTCAGCTTCATGGGCCCTTCTTCCAGCCCTGATGAGATAAGCCAAGGTACCACACACAAAATAACAATTTTTGCTCGAAAGCTTCTGCTCACATTATGGTAGGATTAAATCCTATCTTGTTCTTTCAGTTAAACTCACTCTTCTTTTCCTAAATTAGAAAGGAACTTAATTTTCCAAATGTTGGACATGATCCATTCTAGATCTTGAGATGTGAAACTGCAGTTTTCTTCAGAAGATTGAATATCTTTACTCAGAGATTACCCTGAGCAGGGGGCGAGCAGGGAGCTCACTGAGGAGGCCTCGTGCCTCTGCAGTGAAAGATAAAACAGGTAAAACATCTCAGGAGCTTTTTGTGCAGCATCTCAGCGGTGAAAATCAAACCTGAGGCTTCTATGCCTAAGAAAATCCCAGAATATGTCTAAGAATAAGAAAGAATCGTGCTTTTGCAAGTTATCTCCCCTGCTCCTCAGGAGGATCTTGCAGCTCCACAGCTATGAGTTTCCTCCGTGTCAGATTTTCCATCCTTTTTGCACCTGGAGTGGGGACATTTTCATACTCACTTGCCAATTTCTCCGTAGCTGTCTAGGGATGATGTTGCAGAAATGACACAAATCACCAGTGGGCAGCCTGCAGAAAGGCAAAGGCAGTGGCAATATTAGGAACAAAAGCACCGTCTTCCAGTAAACCCAGCAAGTTCTGCTCAATTTTGGACGAACAGAACAGCTCGGAGTCATTTTCAAATTAAGTCTAACTTGACATCCTCCTGCAGCTGTGTAATCCAACTTGTTTTAATTAATTGATGCTGGAAAAACAAAATGGCTTTTCAATAAAACACTAGTTTAACAGTTAAACTGAATTAGTGCAAATTTCCTTGACAATCATAGTCCTCTTTCAGCCTGGTTTTTGTTGGTGTAATTTCTACCTCTTGCTGTTCAATCAGTGCTACCACGTGGAGGAAAAATCAGACTTATTTTCACCACTTTCCCCCAGGTAAGTGTGTTTTTGTTCCAGAACTCAAAACAATTTAGAAGAGGAAGCAGAGTTTCTCTCAGGGGTGCACAACCAGCAGGTGAGAGGACAAGGAACAGCGACATCCAGTTATCCAGAGCATCACACCCAGCAGAGAGAGGCAGATCCTCCCCAGATGCCCAAACAAGACTTATTTTAACATAAATATGTAATAGCTCTACGAGATTTCTGTGTTTAAAGCTGGCTCTGTTTCCAGATGGGTTTTGGCAGTGGCAGTGTGCTGTGCCCTGGGAGGTGGGGGAATGTTTTCCAGGCTTTGGGAATTCCACCAAGGCAGACAGTTGTGCTCCTGCTGCCAGGGAGCTCCAGCCCCAGCACTGTCAGGGCCTGTTGTGCCACTTCAGGGCACCATTCCAGGCCAGGAAGTGGAAAGGAAGAGAGGGGGTTTTATTACCAACAGTTCTGAATATAGCAAAACCCCAGCCCTTTAAATATGAAATGATTGTCTGTTAATTCCTGTATGATTTAATAAAATGTGAAGGGTTGAGCTTTTATCAACTTAAGGAATTTAATAACCACGTCCCAGACTGAGTATTAGACATGATAGCTTAAAGTTTCAATTTTTCTGTTTGATTCTTCAGGTTTTCTGCATGAGGGTTTTACAAAATTCTCTGACAAGCAATTTCTGCCTAATTTTACTACTATCATCCTCACAAATTCTATAAAGTCTTCCTGTACTGACAGAACTAATTTTACTAATTTTACTAATTTTTGGAAGAAGTATTTTCACTCTTTAATGATTGCAGCTAGAAGCACATGTATAAATATTTATATATTTATATGTACATGTATTTATACAATGAAATACTCAGTAGTTAAGAAGCATCATCTACAGGCATTGTTTAGGTCTTGGAATTTGAAATCCATCCTGTAGGATGGAATTTAATGTCCCATGAGCTTCATTTTGCTTTCTCATGCTTGTCCGAATCAGGAATAATATCTTAAATGTAACACTTGTGTAAGACCCAATCAAAGGTATGATTTTAGTTTACTGTCTCACTTCTCTATTTAAGAAAGGAAATTCCTACACACAGTTGAACAAAATCAGGAATAATTATATCCACCAGAGCAATTAAGCACAGATAATCAATATGCCATGGGTATGTGAGCTGCCAGGACTAAAGGTCCCACAGGTACGTGTTCACATTCCCAAGCACCTCTTTGGTTGCAGAGTAGATATTGAATATAGATGTTGTCTTCCCATACAAGGGACTTTGTCACTGAAGCAAAAATACCTGTACCTGACTAATTCTTCTTTATATTTCTAGTCCATCTTTTTTTTTTTCACCCAGTCAAATGCTGGATATTCAAAGGATTTAGCACGACTCTTTATCAATTTTAAGTGGCAGTGAAGAAGAAAATTAAATAGAGTTCCTTTGGAAGATAATAAAACTTATGCAGATGAAACATAGAGCAGTCACCAGCATTAGAAGAGCTGTTAAGTCAGTGAGAATAAAATGGTCTGCAGCCTGTAGTGCTCTGTTTGCCTTTTCATTGCATTAACAAGACATTAAATGGATAATGGCAATGGAAGAAGAAGCAAGGTTTTGTTACAGTAAAATAAGAGTATTTTTCCTTTAAGGAACAACTATTCAATTAACTCCATAAAGGTTGAAAAAAAATATATATTTTTATCCTAAGAGGATCATAAGATTTTATCTGGACTGAAGATCTCATGTGGATTATACATTATGCACAAAAATAAGTGTGTTTGCTTAATTTTTTTCATCAATAATTACAAAGAAGTTGTGAAGTTTAGTCTACACCCATAACACATCTCTTCCAACCCAAACCATTCTATGTTTCTGAGGCACTACTGACAAATAAAATGGAAAATGCCTGTAAACTTGGATGCTGTATTTTGAAAGTTTCAGTGTCTTCTATATAAGGAAAAAAAAAAACCAAAAATCTAACTAGCAGGCTATAGAAACTCTGTGGCAGACAATGTAAAGCAATTTTGGGACATTAATTCTAAAAGGCTAAATACGTCATCTACTGAGAAAGATGAAGCATTAGACACAAATGAAAGTATATTTCCTTCCAATGATGAAAAGATCTATTTTGCTTGATGGGAAAAAGTATATTCTCCCATTTATATTGTAGAAGTTCATTTTCTATGATTTTCTTCTGCTGTGTTATGTCATATCTAGGCAGAAGTCTGGGACTGCATCAACTAACAGCAAATAAAGAAATTTATGTCTTTTGACAGCTCAGAACAAAGTCTTCAATCTGTGACAGTCTCTAAAGGAAAGGAAATGGGCTGAAATAGGAAAACATGCCAAGGCCAAAGTGCCACAGCAAAATCTCCAGTATCACAAACTCTACCATCAGTGTCCCAAAAACGGTGGGAGGGAAAAGCTTTGCTACAATAATCTCTGTGAGTTGTCCTGAATCATCAAGGCAAAAAAAAGAAGGTTGTTTTTTTTAACCCAATCGATTTCAAGGTAGTTTTAATGGTAGGATATTATCACCTTCCTCAAATTGCCTTTTTTTTTTTTTTAAAATTCCTGACAACTGCAGGCTTTGAGTTAATTCCAGCACCCTTGGGACTAAAGGTAACGCATGGGAACTTCCATCAGCTCTGCACATTTGGTGTCCTGTCTCTCCCATTACCACTGAACTCATTTTACAGCAATAGCACCTCTCAGATCCCTCAATGGATGTTGGGAGGTTGGTGGAGAATTCCTTGTCCCTCTCTCCTCACGTGGTCTCAAGTTTTGATTTGTCATTAGCAGGGACTTTGCAAACATTTAAACACTTACTCAGCTCAGTGTTTCTGCTTAGACAAGAATGATGGGCCTGGGTTTTTAAATTCAGGAGGAGGGTTGTCTTTATTCCAGGAACTATGAGTTTGCAAAAGTCAAACACATTCACACTTCAATTGAAAGCACAGAACCAATAAATGAACTGTCTGTTTTGACTAACATGAGATGAGACATCCTTGTCTTCAAATTCTTACAATCATCTTAGGTCAGTACAACAATTAGGTAAGCTAAAATATAAAAAAATGGTGCAGTGAGACCTCCTTCCCACATTCCTGCTCTTAATTCGGAAATTCAGGGCCTGATTTGGCCTTGAGATGTCATGGAATTCGCTGCAGTGGAATTAGGTTTAAGGACTATACATTCTAAAGTCTGATTACAGTCAGAAAAATTATGCATTTTCTTATCCAACAGACCTACTCTCAGAAGGCAAACTGTGATCATAAGATGACAATTTCAAATATGCTTCTGAATATAATCTGGTCCTATAGTGAGGAGATTTAAAGTAAGCAGCTACTAAATGCTTACCCCATCCAACTCCATAATAGTATAAGTGCTTGCTCTCTTCTGACCCAAATACTTTGATCACCATACTGTAGAGATGAAATCCTTCCACCAGCATCCATGCAAAAGCACTCAGGAAGAAAAAATGAAGGAGAATGGCCAAGATCTTGCAAGGCACCTAAATTAAGAATAAAAATTAATGCATTACTTCTTTGTGATACAGTCACATTGGTTTTCCAGTTTTTATTTAATTTCTAAATACATTTATGTGCTAAATCACTGAAGTAAAAGTCTTAAAAACAAAGCACTAGACAATTTCATTTTTCTACAGCATTTTCAGATAGTTTCAAATCCTCTTACCTTTAAAAAAAACAGAAAAAAACTCAAACAACATTGCCAAACACGATGTGGAAACACAAATGAGTTATTTATTTATAACAGCAGGAGCAATACTCCTACTGAAATCTACAGAATATTTAAGAATTCAAAACGGAAGTGTCTACATCCAGCTCCTGAGCCTGTGGTAAGCACAGGAGTCAAAGGAGTGGAGTACAAACACTGTCCTGTACTGTGCTCCCTGTTCTGTGATGGTTAAACACCCAGCATAGTTAATCCCTTCCTTTACATGGAGAACTGGTAGAAAGTCAGTGGATTAGTTAAAGCTGAGTGAAAGACAGAAATTTTAAAATAAGGTCCCATGTTGAACCTGCTCTTTGTTTATACTTCACCACGTGGCTTCCCTACTTTGCTATTCTTTATATAAAAAATAGGGTAACACACAAATTAAATTGGATTGTATTTCAGTGTGTACCTGTCCTGGTTAGAAGATCTGTAACAATTTCATGTACTCCTCCATCAACAATATTTATACAGGCATTCAAAACTTTGTACTCAACTATCTTTGCCTCTGGAGTCCTGATTTCTCCATGGTGGGCATCCAGTTTCCCCCCGTGTTTGAGGTCTCAATTTCCCCCAGTCTGATGTACCAAATGAATTAAATTTGACAAGAACACGTTGAGCAATTAAGGCAAAGCACTGAAAGTCTTCTCTGTGGAGTGTTTACAGACAACTCCTTGCCAGTCTTTTATTCTCTCTGTGCTATCAAGACCTTGGGAATAGGAGCTAACACCGAAGTCTAAGCAAAAGCAAAAAACCATCTAGAAGATGAGCTCACCTGGTGAAAACTGGACCAACTGTTTTAATGTAAACTATAAGATGCTCTGCAGTGATCAAATGCTGCCCCAGATGAGAGGAATGCCACGACTGAGGCAATGTAAGAGAAGTAAAAACATCCCCTGGAGTCCTGCTCACACCTCAGTGCTTAAGGCCCACTGTGGGCTCCAGGAAATGCACTCTGGGTTTGAGACCTGGCTTTTCCTCAAGTAGCTCCTCTAGGAGATGTTTACATTTTTCTCTAAGCCTCCTGCCAGCCTTGCTTATGAAAACAGGAAAACCGAATCCTTTCTTCTTCCGCGCTCCTCAGGTGCTCACGGCGTCCGCCTCTCCCCACAAATTGCTTCTTGAGGATGTCTCACCACAAGGGTCTTTGCTGATCACCCAGTGACTGAACAGATGTGACTGCAATGATCTTGCCACAAAACAACCTTTGTTTGGTTTGCTTGCAGTGAAGGCACATTTTAAACACACTCTTGGAAGGAGTCCCAGTCATGGCTCAGGTTGGATCCTGTAGAGCACTGAGGGCGGACATTCTGCTCTGGAGCTGTGACACCCCTCCTGTGACACCCACAGAATTTCAGAGGGGTTCCTTGCATCCAGTCCATGGGAATGGTGAGAGTTTTCCCTTCCTCAGCTGGACAGGTGACAGTGAGGTCTCCAGGCAGGATCCAGGTCTGTGTGCTGTGGGAGCACTCCCAGGAGGAACCAGTTTGCTACCACAGAGGTTAAGCAAGAATTCCCTTTGTTGCTTTGGCTTGGCTGCCCTGTGCTGGTATTTTATTATTTTTGTTGATGATTTGGGATTTTGTACACTAATGAAAATTAAAATGTTGGGACTCAATAGTACAATGAAAACTGATGCTTTCCTGTATGTTCTCACTTGTACTCAGCTGGTTCTGTGCTAGTGCAAAGACATTCCAATGCAAATCCAATGTGACTACATGTATTCAAAAGCAATAAATTTGGGTTTAATTCATGTAAGTGAGGTCTGTATGTGGTTTTGCAAAGTTCAGGGACATATTATTAAACCAGATTAGCTTATTGACAAAAACGGTGAAAGCCTTTCCAGTTAGTTTTATCATGAGGCTATAAAATCCATTTTAATGCCTTTTGATTTCCACCAGAAGATTAAGCCACAAAAATATAAACGCAACATAAACCTGACTTACAAGCTAGTTCTGTCAAATGGATACTTTCCAAGGTTTGAGTAGCCAAACAATATCAATCACAAAACAGCAGAAAAATAAAACACAGTGAAGTAGCAGGAGGCTGATCTGTGTGTAATTCTGTATAACACTTACTTGCAGATATGTACATAAAATCCATAGCAAAGTTGCTACTCGTTCTGGTTTTGTGCCTTAATGATGGCTTAGAAGTTACTCTTAAATGACAAAATTGCCTTCTTGAGTAAGCATTGAAAAGCTGAGCCTTTGTGTGCTAAACCCAAGCATGTCTCCCCTGCTGTATCATAGGATGCACTCTGCTTTTACCACAATACTTGTAAAAAGGCAGATCTCATTACTGTTACTCTTAGAGTTGACTACTTGTGAGTCTGTGGAAATAGAAAAATCAGCCCAGCCAGCAGCAAGGCCCATCATATTGTAGTTGTTGAGAAAGTAAAGCAAATTCTCAGAAAGGCCTCTCAGAAAAATATTAGTCGTGACTCAGAGGACGGTCTTAAAACAGGCAGGTAATTTTACACATATATCATAAAGGAAAGCAGCCCATTTCATGTCTCCATTTGGAAGTGTTTTCAGCAATGCCATGCAGGAGTACTGAGGGAGAAACAGCTCCATACACTGACCCAGAACTGCAAGTAGTAGACACATTAAATTTTCTGGTTTTGCTGGGAAACCACAATGCTGCTTAACACCTTATATTTCAATTTGCATTTCCCTCTGTTTAAATAACACTTCAGCTTTTCCCACAAACACTCTCAGGCCTTTGGAAGGCTTTAGGAGCCTAAAGAAATGTTGATGGTTTACTTGCAAACATAGGCTGTGGTTTGGGAATCTGTTAAAAGAATGGCACTCTCCAGTCTATAATAGGGAGCCAGCAACTAAGACTGCAAAGCTCTCTGAAGAAACAAATTCATCTATTGCTGAAAGTCTAAGGGAAGTCATCAGACTGGCATGTGGATAGCAAAGATATCTTAGAAACTTGGCAGTATAGGAAGAAAATGTTTTGTGCAAAAATATTTGCTTTTTCTAGAAGGAAGACAACCTGGTTTGGGGAATAATTGCCTTCCTGGGATATGCCATGATCATTTAAGACTCCTGTTTTAACACTACTGATGTTAGGTATCAATGATCAGCTTTTTTACAAATCAATCAATCGAGTGTGTTACAAAGATCAAAGTCCTGTGTGTGAAAATAGAAGTTTGTGGTTAGAAATCAGTCTTACTCGACAAAAGGAAAATTGCTGTAGTATAAACTGTAAATTATTAAATTACACATCTGAAATTACCAGGGGAATGCTCTATACCATATCTGGAATAAAAAAACTAAATGTCCCTAGAGATGGAGGCAGGAAAAGGATGGAGAGGCTCAAAGCAGTCATGCAAGGAAGTGATGCCTGTTTTTTTTCCAAGGTCATTCCCTGTTGCACTGCATTGGCTCAAGCAAAGGGGTCCCGCAAAGGGGTCCCACTGGTTCTCTCAAACAAGGGCACTTCCAAACTGCCTGGCACTGATACTCGGTCTCTGGCAGAAGCAGAAGATTACAAATTCACACCTTCTAGTGTAAATACTGCCTCCCTCTTTCTGTAAACGACCATTTAGCATTCAATTAAAGCAGCAATTAAAGGTATTAAAGCTGCTGTCAAAGCCAGTGAGAGTAGAGCATGGAGTAAGGACATGAGGCTAATAAAAGGATGAATCACAACCCCCCTCATCCTGAGAGGCTAAAACGTAAAAAATAAAAGCACAGCAGTGTTTACACCACGTTCTTCAACTTTAAGATCTTTACAGTGTTATGCTGTTCAATTACTGCTGTTACAGAGGAGGCAGGGCTGAAATATCCATGGATTCTGTGAAGCATTTCACTTCACAAAGCCTGTGGTGTAAAGCAGGTCTTGCTTTCTGGGTGCTACTGTTCCAATTTAACTTACTTTAATTAAAGTAAGTTTTGAATAGGTTTAAGAGACAATATACACTTATTAAACTGCAACTTCAGCCCATGTGAGCGCTTCACAAGCTGGACTGAACAAGCAAGACACCTGTGTGGGAACAAGGCACATTATAAATGTAGATGGACACCGGGACAGGCCTCTGGAGAACACGAGCTCTACCCACATCCAAGCAAAACCAGGAAACACAACCAGGGTTTCACAGGATTTTAAAGACTGGAGGTGATGCTGGGCTTGATAAGGCGTAAAGAGGCTTTCACACACTGACTGAAGTGACTCAGCTGGATTGTCTGAAAG